CTGTATAGTCTGCACCATCCTGTTGGTGAGCTCTAGAGCAGCCATTGCTGTTGAGGTCCCAAAGGAAGCAGCACCTCTCTGAAACCCTCTGACGATGCGACCGTCCTTCCGGTACTGCTCAATAGGAAGCCAGACCAAGTCCTTCAGGCCTTGCACTGGAACAGTCAACGCACAGAGTAACGTGAGGGCTGGAGGTTAAGACCCTGGGGTGTGCAACTCCTGAAACCGGAGGCTAAGTCTGATGTGAGTAATAGGTGGGTGTACTAGGGGATGGCCCCACAGACTCCCTAAGGCCAGGTCTGATGTAACAGGTGGGTGTACCAGGGGATGGCCCCACAGACTCCCTGAGGCCAGGTCTGATGTGAGTAACAGGTGGGTGTACCAGGGGATGGCTCCACAGGCTCCCTAAGGCCAGGTCTGATGTGAGTAACAGGTGGGTGTACCAGGGGATGGCTCCACAGGCTCCCTAAGGCCAGGTCTGATGTGAGTAACAGGTGGGTGTACCAGGGGATGGCTCCACAGGCTCCCTAAGGCCAGGTCTGATGTGAAAAGAAAAAGAAAAAGAAAAAGAAAAAGAAAAAGAAAAAGAAAAAGAAAAAGAAAAAGAAAAAGAAAAAGAAAAAGAAAAAGAAAAAGAAAAAGAAAAAGAAAAAGAAAAAGAAAAAGAAAAAGAAAAAGAAAAAGAAAAAGAAAAAGAAAAAGAAAAAGAAAAAGAAAAAGAAAAAGAAAAAGAAAAAGAAAAAGAAAAAGAAAAAGAAAAAGAAAAAGAAAAGAAAAGAAAAGAAAGAAAGAGGAAGGAAAAGAGAAGAGAAGAGCAGAGCAGAGCAGAGCAGAGCTCACCCAATTGTACTAGGGAGTGCATAGGACCCACTCCTCCCAGGATTCCTGGCAGCTGGTTCTTCTTAATATCATTAAGCCACTCAGTCATCGCATATGAAAATAATTTGTCCACACCTAGCAAACTAGAGCAAATGACGTATTAGTACAGAAAGGAGAAATAATTGATAGATGTAAATAAGGTTGGGTTATTTTCACTTCAGATGTAAGAAAATTCACAAATTATAAAGACCAGATATTTCAGATGCTCCAAAAACAACTGAACACTTTTAAATGATTAAGAAGTATAAGCCCAAGTGAACTCCATGGGCAGTGGTACCACATGGCAACCATGGTTCAAATCCCCAGCCCAGTCAGCCCAAAACGTGCAGGGCACGTACGTGAGTACCCAGGATCCAACCAGCCAGAGAACTGGAGGGAAGGGACTGCAGCATGGCCATACTGTGGAGGTACTCCTCCCTCCCTCCCTCCCTCTCTCTCTTTCTCAAGTGCATGTGCGCACTATCATGAATAAGGAAAAAAACTGAATATAGTCCCGGCTGCAGTGGCACAAGTGGCAGGCATTGCCAGGTGGGCTGGGATTGCATGGGGCCTGGGTTTGGTTCTCAGATGAACCTAATGGGCTGGATGTGGTGGCATGTGTCTGTGTTCATGGCTGGCTGGAAGACTAGGCAGGAAAACCTTAATTTGGCAAGACCCTGACAAAAACACCTATCTCTTAGGACCAGCAGATGGCATAATGATTACCATGCTGGACTTCCACGTAGTCAACTACAGTTCGAGTCCCAGACCTGGTGGCTTAAAACTCAGGTTGGGCTCATGTGTACACATGCCCAAAATCTCAAGAGGAGACTGCATGAGAAGGGATTGCAATGTGGCCATCCTCCCTGGAGGGTGATTTCTCACTTTCTGTCTCTCTGGCAAGTGCACGTACCCTATAGCAAAAATCTTTCTCCCTAAAAACAAACAAATAAAAAATCTCTCTCTCCCCCTCCATTAAAAATATGTAACAATGGTGCTAGCCCTGTGCCTAGTTAAGAATCAGATTCCACATGGCTGACCACAATTTAGATCTTGGCCCAATGGCTTGAAAACCATGCCAGGCACGTATGCATGCATGTCTAAAATCCCAAAAAGAGATTGAAGCATGACCATGCCCCATTGGAAAATGTCTTCTCCCTCTCTCGGTCTCGGTCTGGTGAGTGTAAGTGCCCCCTGACAATTAAAAACGAATGAATGAATGAATGAATGAATGAATGAATGAAATATAAATTAGCTACTTAACTCCCAATGTGCAGTTTTCTTTAAATATTAAAAACTCCAGTTAAAACCACTGGACAGTGGTAAACATGACGCTCTGCAAGGTCAACTCTTACGGGAAGGCCCCTACTTCATATCCGGAGACCTTTCTGAGTACGCCAAGCACATGCATGCCCACGATCTGGGGCTGGCCTAAGGGTTGATCATGGCATCAAAACCCTCATTCACTAACTCACACAAAAAATAAACTTTTATTTTTTTGTTGCCAGATGGTGTATGTATGTACTCCAGAGAAAGAGAAACAGAGGAGAGGGAGAGAAGGATGCCCTGTAGGACATGGTCATGCTGCAATCCATTTTCCTGCAGTCCTCCTTCTCAGTAGAATTCTGGGCATGTACACACATGTGCCTGGAATATTTTTGAAGCTGCCAGGCCCAGGATTCAAACCTCAGTCAGCCATGTGGTATCCAACTACCTCAACTGTTACATGGGGCTGGCTTAAATAAACTTTCTAAAAATCCACTTAAAATGTTAATATCTACAAGGCTTAAGTACTGTGCATAAGTGCATTTTCTCACTGTTTTTTAAAGCTTTTTTAATAAATATCCTGAGGAAGAGAGAAGGGAGGGGCGCCATAACAATCCTCCCATGAGCCTCACAAGCAGTCAGGATCACGGTGCACCTGGCTTGTCAGGCAGACACAAAACACGAACCAGGGTCTTCGCACGGCCTCCGGCATGGCGCTGCAATGCCCCTGTCAACCGCACCACCTAGACTGGGCCTCCACTGTTTTTATTTCTTGAACGTCAAAGGGTCTGGCATAGGACTAACCAAACTCTATCAATTGCCACAAATTGCTATAAAAACCTCTACCTTGTGAACTTTCAGGCTTTTTACTGAATAAGCTAATTTATAGCTTTAGGAAATTATTAAAAGTATAGCTACTTTTAAAAAATGCTGCTCTGTTTAAACTACTTCAAATCGCTCAGAAAAAAGAAAAATTAGCACCTAGTCAGCAAGGGTTTTCTAAAAAAGAGCTCTCTGAACACAAGGCTACAAAAATAGGTTAGGTAGGCTTACTAGGAAAACTCAATTCTAATTTGCTGTGAACTTTGCCTTAGCATGCCGCGGAATAAACCAACTTACCCATGCCGGTAGAAAAGCCTCTTCAGCTTTAGTTCCGAGCAGTTTAACTGAGCCAGACCAATCAGAATCCCAGCTAGTGTACCCTTTAAAATTAAAAAAGGCCAGATTAACCCATAAATGAGAGTGAGACTCAAAGTTTAAAATGGCTATTTTTTAAGTAAAAGCAATAATCTCTTAATAACACTAAGACAATTAAATATTTACAGCAAAAATATGAAATACTTTACAATGTGTATGACCCAATTTATGCTAAATTTTAATAATGGTTTTTAAATCAATATTTAATTTACTTTTAAAAGAATTAAATTTTAGAGTCATCCAAGTGGCGTGGAAATTAAAGTGATGAGATCCCACGTAACAGACTACACGGTACGAGTCCTGGACCCGGCAGCTTAGAGGCCATGCCAGTACATGCATGCGTGCCCAGAGCCCCGAGAAGAGAGTAAAGAGAGGATTGCTCTGAGGTCATTCCCCCTGGGGAGTGCTTTCTTACTTTCCCTGTCTCTGTCTGTCTCTCTTCAGCAAGCACAAGTGCCCTATGGCAAACTTTAAAAAAAAAAAAAAAAAAAACCTAAATTTTAAAAGCTTGTACTTCATGCAAACAAATACGTAAACAAGGACAGCAACGTTTAACCCTGACTTCATCAGAAGAGCCAGTGAGGGCGATGTGGCCCCCTCGGCACAGTCCTTTGTGTCTACGGGATGAGTTTCTCTCCTCAATAAACTCTACGCTCAGCCAGTGGGGAAAAAAAAGAAAGAAAGAAAAGGAAAAAGAGAAAAATAAAGGAGATCATTTTTTAGAGATTTGTGCAGTTTCCTAACCTGATCCATGGACACATGTTTGCCATGATAATCAAGTCGAATAGGAACTTCTGACGTGAACCTAAATTCTCTGAAGACAAAGAAGGAGAATTATTAATATTAAATATTACTAATAGTTGGCATTAAATATAAAGTAATTTATAAAGTAATTTTCTCAAATAGAGAACAAAAACAAAACCACAAACTAAACCACTTGAAAGTCTAGATAGGAGACTATCTTTTAGCTCTACCATTAAGATAATGTCACAAGTAAACAGGTATTAACCATCTAATAAAATGTATCTTCATGTGGTTTGTTTTCTCACAAAACCTCTTCCTAGTTCATAGAATAATTTCATATAAAAACAATTTTTAAAATTTTGTTTCATAAATTATTTTATTCTTAGAAAAACTTATTCTGGCAGATAGTCTCAATTCACACAGAGAACAAATTAATAAAAGCAAGCTTAGATATTAAACCAGATGATGTAATCATTACCGTGGAGTGAAAACAGAAAGCGTGAGGTCAGTATTTCAGCCCCTGGAGAAGCAGGGTCAGGAACCTGGGCACGAATCCCAGCTCTATCAGTTACATGGGTTACTGGCATAGGCCATCACTCACTCTCCGTTAGCCTCAATGTCTTTATCAGTAAATTTTTTTAGTGTCACCCTACAAGGGACCAGCAGGTTGAATAGTACATAAGGTGCTGGACTCACAAATGGCCAACTGCAGCTTGAGTTCCGGACCTGGCAGCTTGAACTCATGCTGGGCACATGTGTAGGTATGTCCAAAATCCCAAAAGAAAAATGGAGAAGGGACTGGGGCATGGCCATCCCCTCTGGCGGTGATTTCTCATCTTCCTTCTCTCTGTCTCTCCCCAGTAAGCACCTGCAACCTATGGCAAAAAAGCTAACAATACATGCATATATAAAAAGTAAAATGCCTCCCTACATTGGTTGATTTTTGTGTGAATTCTTGAAAGGTATGTGTATAAATATTAGTTTGGGAGAGTCATGATGTATTTTTCTATGTTTTCTTATGAAAAAAATACGTCATGACTTTCCTGACAACCCAATAGGATATTAACATACAAATACTACGGCTTCTATAAAAATGAAGTTATAATCGTACATGGATGGTACACAACAAGCGAAATAAGCTGGCTTCCAAGAGGTGCCTATGGTCTGGATGTCTGGAACCGGAAACATCTTTCTGTTACTACATTAATGCTGGTGGGAAGCTCCTAAGTCGCCTCAGTGAAGCTACAGTGAAATGTAAATGCCGGGGGCCAGAAAGGGGTATTGTGGTCAAGTTCCAGACTAGGTGGCCTGACTTCTTACTTTCTCTGTTCCTCTCTCTCTCCCATGTAATCAACCGTGGTTCAAGTCCCAGACCCAGTGGCTTAAACTCACACTGGGCACGTGTGCATGCGTGCCCAAGATCCTAAGAGGAGAATGGAGGAGAAGGAATTGCAGCATGGCCATCCCCCATGGGGGGTGATTTCTTGCTGTCTGTCTCTGTCTTTCTGGCGAGCGCACACACCCTATAGCAAAAAAACCTCTCCAAGAAAACAAAAAAACAAAGCAAGTGCTATATATACACCCATCACCCACCCATTCCAGGAAGGCCTCGAATCCCAAGCCTTCCTCATCCTCCAAATAATTCATTTCTTTTGGTTTTCTGGACAACATTCTCTTAACATCTCCTCCTTTCTCATTCTTTTTTCCTCCATGGCACACACAACAGAAAAAAAATTTATTTTAATTGTTTGTAAACTCAATTAAACAGTGTTTTTTGTTTGTTTGTTTCTTGTTCACTGCCTAGACAAAAACTTGGCATACATACGGTAAGCGTGCAATAAAAACATGTGAGGAGAATGGATGTTTATGGATGAAGGAAGAGACTTAATAACATCACTAGAAAATACCCTGGGGTTTGGGGATTTGGGATTAGAAGACCTGTGTTCTGGTCCAAGCTTGAGTGTGGTCTTCCAAGTGGTCTCAAGCAAGACAGCTCAGATCTCTGGGCACTGCCTTCCTCATCTGTAAAGCATGTGATCTGGACTACGTATTGATTAGCACCCAGGGTCCCAGATACTCTTGGAGCTTTCAAGAGTAGTAACAGACCACTATCAATATTTAAAATAATCTAACAGAAAAAATTAACATTTACCTAAGTACTAGGGAAGTAGGGCATAAGCCTGGTGGCCCTACTTACCAGACCAGCCCTATGGCCCTACTAATTAATTTAAGTTAAAAACAAAGTGTCAAATTTGCTTTCAAGCCCATGTTTATAAAAACCAAATTGGCAGTTTATATTTGATTAATATAAAATAGAAAGTCAAATGATCACTTAGGATACATCCTTTTTTTGGTAGAAAAAAATGTTTAATTAAGAAATGTGGGAACCAGCAGGTGCTGTGGTGGTTAAGTCGCTAGACTCCCACTTGGCAGGTTGCGGTTCAAGTCCCAGGCCTGGAGGCTTTCTTTCTCACTAATCCTCTGTCTCTCTCCGGTAAGTACACACACCATGCTGCAAATTTAAAAATAATAATAACACATAAATAAGATAAAATAGTTATTTTTAAAAAATTGAGAAATGTGAGAAAACAGTGAAGAGGTAAGTTCTGTGGTGAAGTTTAAAACCACCAGAGACCATCTAAGCTAGGACTTTCCAACCCTCATACTCTATGTTCTAGTACTTTCTTTGGCATACAGAATATTTAGAACATGACAATGCTTTCAAACAGTAACGGTGCCACTCTGGGTCATACTTAAAAGCCTAGCCTCACGAGCCACGGGGAAAGACAGACAGAAATGAGGGACCCAGGGTGTCAATGTCGGAGGGGTACAGAAAAACGGAAGGTCGCTAATTGTCCTTCACAACAAAGAGGGCTGGGGTCGTAAATCTTTTCTCCTTCCAAAAGGGCAAAGATTCCCTCCCCGCCAAGGGCTGGAAAGGAGATGTGAAGAATACATGGGTCTGGAGAGGAGGAGCAAGCCCCTGTATGCCGAGCTCCAGCCGGCCAAGCAGCAGTGCCCACTGAGCCCAGGAGCGCAAGGTCGGAAAGACACCTGTGGTGCGTCCCCTTATGGGAAAATGCAAGAAGGCTGAAGAGGTGTGTAATGAGGAGGCAAAGCGACCACGTCGAGCTTGTTTCTGTGTAGATTCACCACAGTGACTGAGCTGGGGACAGGAGGAGGGAGAAAGGAAAGGCGCATGGAGGAAAGGAAATCCCTGCCACAGAGCCAATGGAGCCAGGCCCTGAACTGTGTGCTCAGGGCTACTCCGTGTAAGCAGGGAGCAAGCCGGGTGGGGGCCACATCCAGACGAACGTGCCCGACTACTGGGCTGCACCAGGAAAGCTGGCGTCCCTCACGATCACGGTACGCACGTCCATTCAGAACAGTCTTCCAACGCTAAAGTGACTTTGTCGTCAAGATTAAATCATTTACCTAAAAAACACAGGCTGGTCACCAAATGATGTTTCTTCAGCAGAGAAGTCCTTCCCCTCTGCCCCGTTAGCCACGTCCACTGAGGCGGCACTGTCACTTTGAGAAGGCTGCTTTGGCCCAGGGATAGAGATGACCAGATCTGGCTCCTTTGAGGCACTCAAATGCCTTGGCAAACTGCAGGTGACATCGGCTCCAGGAGACTTTTTAACTGCAAGTATCAAGTGCACATTTGAAAAACTAGGCACACTTCTGTAGGGCAACCTTTTAAATCAGTCCTGATTTAACTTGCTTTGTTACATTTCATTTAATAAAATACAATTCCCGTTACAGAAAAAAGCTACTTACATCTTTTAAATGATCCCTTTCATACAAACTATGTTTGAGTCAATTAATGAAAATAAACACAGAATACATGTAAGTAAGAAGACTGTAAGTATATTAAAAAAAAAGTCTTGGGACCAGCAGATGGCGTAATGGCTATGTCGCTGGATTCCCACATAGTCAACCATGCTTCGAGTCCCAGACCCAGTGGCTTAAACTCACGCCGGGCGCATGTGCATGCATGCCCGAGATCCTGAGAGGAGAATGGAGAAGGGATCGTGGCATGGCAATCCCCCCTGGGGGGTGATTTCTCACTTTCTGTCTCTCTCTGTCTTTCTGGCCACCACACATGTTCTATGGCAACCACCCCCCAAAAAAAAAAATTAAAAAGTCTCACCCCCCCCCCAAAAAAAAAAGAAAAATTAAGAATTCTCATAATAATCAAAATCAATCCAAGTACTACACTGGCAATGGCCTTTTCAATCCCCATACATCTAATACCTTCTGGATCTGGGGTCATTAGGAGCTCCACCTCTGTAGAAAGACTTGTGAAGAAATCCTTCAGGAAAAATAAGGCATCCTAAAATCAAGAGATGGCATTATAACTCTGAGGGAAGGTGCATCTGTTTCTCACGCTGTGAAACAAAGCAGGTTAAAGCCTGACGTTCTGCTTGTTATTCACATACAGCTCTAACGTCCTGGGTCCCTCCTCTGCGTCAAGCATCACTCCTACTCTCACGCTCTCTCTCTCACATGCTCTCTTTCACATATACATTCATTTCTCTGATAATTCTCACAACTCTGCGAGGAAACGACTTCACAGATGTGAAAACTGAGAAACAGGAGGTTACAAATCTCGAAGCTAGGAGGAATGCCAAGTCAGCGCACACTCCGTTTTCCCAGATGCAGAGTTCCCCAGCTAGCACTCGCTGCAGCCCTCAGTAGCGCTGCTGACGGTAACTGCGGCAGGTACTGGATTATGTGCAGGGAAGGTCTTCATCTCTTACTCCTGCACTTACTGCTGGGTTGTGCTGCCTCAATGCATTTTTTTTTTTTTTGAGAGGTTTTCACTATAGGGCACATGCGCTCGCCAGACAGACAGAGAGAGACAGAGAGACAGAAAGCGAGAAATCACCCCCCAGGGGGATGGTCACGCTGCAATCCCTTCTCCTCCATTCTCCTCTCGGGATCTTGGGCACGCACGCACACACGCCCGACGTGAGTTTTAAGCCACCGGGTCCAGGATGCGAACCTCGGTCGACTATGTGGGAGGCCAGCGACATAGCCATTACGCTAACTGCTGGTTCCCTCAATGCATTTTCTTCATTGGGTATGATATTCAGAATAAAAATCACAAATATGATCATCTACTCAGTGTGGTCTCTTTGGAAATTATCTAATTACAAAGATGATGTAAGCTCAGGATGGTCCCAAGCTCGGGTGACCCCATGCAGTTTGAGTCCTGGTCCTGAAAGCTTGAAAAACATGCCAGGTTTGGACCAGCAGACAGCATAATGGTTATGTCACTGGATTCCCATGTAGTTGAATACAGTTCAAGTCCTGGGCCAGACGGCTTAAGTCACGCCAGGTGCATGCATGTGTGCCCAAGGTTCCAAGAGGAGAATAGAGGAAGAGATTCTGGCATGGCCATCCCCCCGGGAGGTGATTTCCCACTTTCTGTCTGTCTCCCCCTCCAGCAAGCCCATTTTCCCTTTAGCAAAAAATCTCTCTTAAAAAAAAAAAAAGAAAGAAAAACACACCAGGTGCACGTTGAGCCCCAAATTCTGACAGGATGGATGAATGAGAAGGAATTGAGGCGTGACCACATTCAAAACACATGTAAGCTCTGTCTTGAAACTGCGCACACGTGCCGTATTTACCTGTTAGCGGCAGCTTCAGCTTTCTTGCCTCACTCTAACCAACAAGCATATTTTAGAGTACATAACAATTAAATGCCCACCTGAGGCTATTCTCTATTACTCTTCCTTTCTATTAAATACAGTTCTAAGTTAACATAAGACACTAAAATTGTACCGAGGCGCAATGTGAAGGAGAATAGCCGGGTCACAGTACTCGGCAGCACACAGGAAAGTCTGACTGACAGTTCTGAAGGGTCTGCTTGCCTACTGATCACATCTACTAGAAGTACAAGTGATGCACATGACAACATGTGCTAGGAACCAAGGCAGATAGGAGCCTGAGGAACGGTGCAGAAGAGAGCAAGTTGTCTCAACAGTGCTAGGCGTGTCCTGGCTCTGAAGCCAGCAGTGGGCTCAGTGGGCTCATACACTGTCCATTATACTGTTAAGCTGTATGTATGTATGTATGTATGTATGTATGTATGTATGTGTATGTGTGTGTGTGTGTGTGTATATATATATATATATATATTATGTGTTTATATATATAGTACATAATATACACACACATATTCATGTATATGTTTTCTATATTATTTACATTACACACGTTTAATATATATTATTTATAGTATATCTAGTATTACATGTTAACAACAAATGTAACAATATATGAAATGCTACTCTGGCTACCAGATGGTGTTGTTTAGTTTTGACTGAAAAACTGTCTTCCAAAGACCAGAAAATTGCAGGTATCAATCTGCCTGAAAGAAAAAAAGGCAGTGTTTTTTTTGTTTTTGTTTGTTTTTTGAGAAATAGGGCGCGTGCACGTGCAATGAGAGAGAGAATGCAGAGATGGCCATACTGCATTCCCTTCTCCTCCAGTCTCCTCTCAGGATTTTGGGCCCACACGTGCACGCCCCTGATGTGAGTTTCAAGCCACCAGGTCCGGGACTCAAACTACAGTCAACTACTTGGGAGTCCAGTGACCTAACCATTATGCCATCTGCTGGTCCTAAAAGACAGTGACTTCTACCCATCTTTCACCACAATGCACACACAACAATGAGTTTTTAATCACTGGTTTTAAAAATGGTCTCAAAATTGTTCTACTTTGGTATTTGCTGAACTCTAATTTACAGTTTAGTAAGGCTACCCAATTTTAAAGCTAGGGAGACAGACACGTCACAAAAGAAGATAGCCAGATGGCTGATAAGCACATGGAAAGATGCTCAACATCACTGGTTGCCAGAGAAATCCAGATGAAAACCATGATGAACATTAGTGAAGCAGCTAGATTGAAGAGATGGATACCAGGCTGGTAAGGACATGAGCACTGGCACTCTCATGGCTCAGGCTGCTGAGTGCACACTGAGCTCTGTGGGAAACGGCCTGGCAGCTTCCTACGACAGCTAACCACGCCCCATCCTATGGGCCAGAAATTCTGCACATGCATGTGTGTGAGCATGCATGTGTGTATCCCAAAGAAATGACAACATATGTTCATAAAAAGACTTGTACTCAAATTTCAAAACAGCTTCATTCATAAGAGCCAAGGCCTAGCACCAAGGCCTAGTGGTTAAGGGATCCAGATCCCACATGGCTGATCACACCGTTCAAATCCTGGACCCAGTGGCTTGAAAAATATACCAGGCACATGTACAAACATGCCCAGATCGCAAAAGGATGTAGAAATAGAGAAGGGATTGCAGCATGACCATACCCCACTGGGAATTGTTTCCTTCCCCACCCCACCCCCCAGGAAGCACATGTTATTCTCTGAAAAATAAGATGACAGGGACCAGCAGATGGCATAATGGTTGTGTCACTGGATCACACATAGTCGACCGTGGTTCAAGTCCTGGATATGGTGGCTTAAACTCACACTGGGCATGTATGTGTGCATGCCCAAAATCTTGAGAGAATGGAGAAGAGATTATGGCATGGCCATCCCCCCTGGGGGGTGATTTCTCGCTTTCTGTCTCTCTGTCTCTCTGGTGAGTGGATACACACCCTATAGCAAAAATCTCTCTCTAAAAATAAAATAGGATGGTGAGAAGCTGAAACCAAGAAACAACCCAAATGTAACTGACCAGAAAAAGAGATGAACAAATTATGGTGTACCAGCATAGTGAAACCCCAACTCCACAATAAAACGGACAGACTGACGGTCCTTGCTACAGACACCACACTGAGTACAGGAAGCCAGATACAATATCACGTGCATGAAGTCAGAGGAGCAACAAACCTAAGGTGGTCCAAGTGTCAGTAGCTATTTTGGAACAGTACAGACTGACGACAAAGGGATAGGAGGGCCTTTGTAGGGTAAAGAAAATGTCCTATGTTCCAACTGGAACAGTGACTACTCAAGTGTATGCATCTGTCAAGGCTCCACGGAACACCGAAAATCCACATGTCCTATTATGTGTCGGCGTACGTCAACACAATTTTTCAAACCTTTTGAATATCTGGCTTGCCATTTGTGCCAAAGTCTGGCTGTAAAATACTTCTATCTAGTTTGTAGGCTCTGTGATAAAGGACGTTACCAGCTTAGTCTGACTCAGTGCTGCAAGAATTCTGTCATACTCGAGCAATGAAGCAATGACGTCGACAAACACAAAGTGCAGACTGGCGCTCCTCCACCGTCACCCTCTCCAGCCCCAGGTGAGCACGCACTTGTCTTCCCAGAATGGTCACCCTACACACCTGGTCGATATTGAGGCGCAGTGGCATCAGTGACACTCTCAAGCAGCATTCCTGTGGAGACCTGCCAGACTCAGGACGCACGTGTAATGCTTTAATTGTCAACTACAAGAAGAGAGAGAGAAAACGTTTTCCCCAGAGCTATAATGGCCTTACTCTCATTAAAAACCAGGAAAAAAATATATAAATATATATATTATTCCTATATTTCTATATGAGAACAAAAAGTGGAATTATTTACCCTCTTTCCTTAAAAGGCTGAATCAAACCTTTTTGGGTCATACACCCCTTCAAGAATAACATGAAATCTATGGAATCTTTTTAGAGGAAAACTCATAATTGAATAGTGTAGTACATGCAGGCACAAAGGAGTCTGCTGAGTCTCTGAAGCTAAGCTGAGGCCCATACTCCAAAGTCAACTTCTATGAGTAACCTGCAAAGCCCTGAGCTAATCATGTCTACCTTACTAAAATTTAAGAAGTATCAAAAGTCTGCAATACTTTTGGCAACATTAAATATTTTGTGTAGACTACTATGGATTTCTGGTTTTCCTCAGACATCAATATATTGGCAATTATACTTAATGGACCTTAGAAGTGATATGCAAAATAGATTTTTTAACATAAAACTTTTAAGTAACACATTTAAAAGGAATTGTTCATATTACACTGAGGAAAAAATATCCAGTAATCTTCCCCACTCTAATTCTCCTCGAGTTAGATATAATAAAAAACACTCTTCAAAAACAACAAAATAACAACAAAAAAGATGAGATTTTAAATCTTACCATGTTGGAATGAGCTTTTCGAGGCATTTCTTTACTGCAATACAGGTACAAAAATTTATTCATTTGTGATGTTGCCAAACGGTCTCTAATTTCCAGATCCTGAACAATAAACACCTGCCGGGAGACTGGGTGTTCTAAGAGGCTGGAATTGCACTCTGGTTTGCACGGAGGATAGACTTCGTGCTGAAACTTAACCTTAATAGACAGGGAAAAGGAACACAGAGCAATCTTTACACTTTATTTAAATTAGAGTTTCTTTTCTGAATGCAAAATATCACATCACTTTCTTTAAATTCCACTTTCAAAGAACTAAGCAGCATGACATTCCTTCGTTTGTTTATTCATTTATCTATTGATTTATGTGTGCCCAGGGACCAGCAGATGGCAGAATGGTTAAGTCACTGGGCTCTCACATAGTCGACCACAGTTCGAGTCCAGCCCCAGTGGCTTGAAACTCATGCCAGGCACTTGTGCACACGTGCCCAAAATCCTAAGAGGAGACTGGAGAAGGAAGGATGGCAGTATGGCCATCCCCCCCCCACCCAGCCATCTCCACCTTGGAGGGTGATTTCTCATTTTTTTGTCTCTCTCTCCAGCGAGCACACAAGCCCTGTAACAAAAACCTCTCTAAAAAAAATTTTTTTTTAAATAAAAAATAAAATTGATGTGTACCCAACCATAGACAAATAAGTCTAACATTTCTTATCTGGTCTTAGGACAGTATTGCCTCCTTTCCAGCAGGCGTAAGACCTCATCATCTCACACACCTGTGAACACTGCTGGAAAAAGAATCCACGGAAGCAGGGTTCGATTCCAAAAGGGGCCAAGGGTGTGGTCAAATATATGGAATTGTCTTCACCACAGTATTTCTGTGCTCACTACCCTAAAACAGGATACTTGCTATCATCTCAAACAAGCACCAGCATTCCGTGCACATCACGGCATCAGTGGTCTGGCCCTACAGGCCTCTAAAAGTTTCTGGGGCCCTACCAAATGCACTATTCAAAAGCAGCCTCCCCAGACAGGTATACTAGGACAGGGGCCTTCCCAAAGCCTGGGAACTCACCACAAGTGCAAATTTTCAGACCCTGCCTCAGACCTACAGAAGCAGAGACTGGGGTGAGGTCCAGAGACCTCCTTTTCTGTAAGCCCTCCAGGGGATTCTGAGCTGGCTCCACTCTGAGAACCACTGCCCTGGGGGTAGTCAGAGAAAACAATGACACAAACACCTCAGTTTTCTCAGGACATCTGAGAAAGAAAAAGAGGTGAAAGTTCACACAACATCCTTGGACTTTTTCAGTCCAAGGTGGCTCAAAACCAGGAGGTGAGTGTAACCAAAGAACCCCTCTGAATGCCTCTACCTAAATGGATTTTTCCTCTCAAAATGCGATCTTACCTTGCTTAATTGTATTTCCATTAAGAAGTCATGGTTTCTTCCTTTTCCCCCACACACCATATTACGCCCCTGTCTTGTGGGTGTGTGAGAAGGTGAACTCTGGGGGCTTCTAAAAATGGAAGAAAAAAGAAAAAACTTGTTAAAGGAATGTTCAAAGAGTCAGTGAATGATATCAGGAAAAAATATTAAGATGGAAAGAGAAAATTAAGATTATAGAACTATGAGAATATTGACACACATATTACTATAAATCAAAACCATTATCTTTAATACTTTGGAGACATGGAAAATGTGCATCTTATCACTGACATTAATTAGCTCCTTTCTATACATCCAGAACTACAGGAAAACCTAATCGTGATGCTGGAATCTGTATCAGAGGAGACACTTAGAAATGAAACCTCCTTATCATTTATTTCAGAAACCTTTCCTAAGAGCACAGGTCTCGGAAATCCCACTTACTGATAATACAGAAAGTAACTGCAGAAAAGATGGAAGTGTTTTAACGTCACTTTTAAGAAGCAGAAGGATCATGCCAAGCAGTACTGCTCCCAGCAGGAACGTCTGCCCCCAGCCTAGCCTGTTTTGTCCTGGCTGCAAAACACTGCCCTAGGTGAACAAGTGCCCCACACAGCCACCCCTACTGGGGGTCCTGCTGGCCACCAGGGCTCAGGTCCCCAGCATGCACAGCCACTGCCCTAGCTCACTCGCATGCCTATCTCTCCCTTTAGAATTGAGAGCAGGGGTCAGTTCTCATTCATTTCTGTGAATAGGCAACATGGTAGACCCCAGTAAATTTGGGGGCATGAAAATCAAGTAAGTCGACATCTTAGTAAAAATCCAATACAGATAAGTTCACCCACGGAAAGTTTAAAGAGATTTAAATGAAATGTTTTTAATACTCATTTATTACTAACTCTTTTTTTTTTTTTTGGAGAGATTTTCACTATAGGGCACGTGTGCTCGCCAGACAGAGAGAGACATAGAGACAGAAACCGAGAAGTCACCCCCCCAGAGGGGATGGTCACGTCGCAATCCCTTCTCCTCCATTCTCCTCTCGGGATCTTGGGCACGCACGCACACACGCCCGGCGTGAGTTTTTTAAGCCACCAGGTCTGGGACGTGAACCGCGGTCGACTACGTGGGAGTCCAGTAACATAGCCATTACGCTAACTGCCGGTTCCCTTATTAGTAACTCTTAAAATCATTAATTTTCTGGTTTTTGTAAGAAGACTATATTGGCCTACCAAATAGACTTCTGCAGGAATTAACTTACATGTAACTCTTAGCAGGAGAAGTAGGAGGAACTGCTCCAAAATCTTTTCCTCCATAGAGATGCCATACAAGAGAGACTTCCTTCACCACATACCGAATGACAGGGATGGGGAAGTGTACCGGGGCTTTGCTTGTGTCTGTCTTCTTGATGGGCAGACTGAAGTGATTGTCTCTAATCACGATCGTGTCATCGACCATGATTCTTATAACTGGTTCTTCTTCTTTCTCCTAAAACAAACGAACAGAAAACTCTTATTTCATTAGAAACAACTGCACATCTCAAGGAGATTTCTACATTCTACATTCTTATCAATTTTGATACACAAAATGGGGTGATAATTACTGACATTAATCATCACTAAGACACTCTACTTTGTTAACCATTAAATAAACTCTTGGGCCAGCAGGTGGTGTGGTGGTTGGGGCACTGGACTCTCACATGGCTGACCATAGTTCAAGTCCTAGACCTGGCAGCTTGCTTTCTTACTTTCTCTCTCTCTCTCTGCCTCTCTCTCCTGAGCGCATGTGCCCTATAGCAAATTAGAATAGTAATAATAGTAACAAGGGGACCAGCAGGTGGTTTGGTGGTTAAGGTGCTGGACACTCCCACATGGCCGACTGTGGTTCAAGTCCCAGACCTGGTGGCTTGCTTCCTCACTTTCTCTCACTCTCTATAGTCAAATTAAATAAATGAATAAATAAAAAATCAAATAAATAACTCTTTAAAAATAATAATAATGATGAATAGACAAATAATTCACTTTAAAAAAGGAACTCTTTTTCTACATCTCTTCCTTTCCTACGTAAATCACTCCACAAGGATTATTTTTATAGTTTACAATTTGGCTTTTGCTAATTGTTTGATAATAAAAAGTATAGATTTTGTGCTAAGTGTACGTGTAGGCTGGTTGGTGTGTGCGTGAGCATGTATGTGTATTTTGTCTCCTAAAACCAACACTGCATGCCACCCCAAACCTTGACCAGTTTCCATATACTGACCATGTTTCCAATCGCAGCTTTATCCTGAGTTTGATTGCTTTGAGTTTTTAAATTTAACCAGAAGTTTCTCAGAACTTGGTAAATACCATGATCACCTAGTAAGTTACAATTCAAAGGCTTAAAAAAAAATGATATATGCTGGCGTGTGTGTGTGTGTGTGTGTGTGCGCGCACGCACGTATACCTCTTAGCCCTCACACCACCCACATTATCTTTTCTAATTTTAGACTAGCGATTCTGTGCGTACATCTGCTGTCATTTAGTTTCACTATCCGGAAAAGCCATCTTAATACATACAATGTTTGTAGGTCAATAACCTAGGTAGGAAATCCTGCAAATATAAAGCATCCTTCTCTGAGTTGTTGAAAGATGTGGCATAGAAAGAGGAATGTATAACAATTCTTTACAAAGCATCAGCAGTAAATTACGAATCAATGTAATTTTGAATTGTAGAGTTAACAAAATCTTAAGAATCTTAGAGGGCCATGAGGTGGCATAGTGGTTAAGAAAGCTGAATCCCACATGGCCAACTGTACTGATCGAGTCCTGGACCCAGCTTGAAAAAAATGGTGCGTGTGTGTGTCCAAAATCCTAAGAGGAGAGTGGAGAAGGGAGTGCAGTGTAGCCATCCCCCCGGAGTGCTTTCTCACTCTCTCTCTCTCCAGTGAGCATACATACGCTATAACGTTCCTTAAGGTCTCACAAAGGCTATTCATTTTTACCTGGACAGCTGCTTTTGGTGCAAAAAGAATGCAGAAGTCATCATTTTCAGCCGGCACACCAGCCACCACATCGCTTATCAAGTGGTGAGTGAAGGAGGTGTAAGTGGGGCCAGACTCCTGGGACACATTCCCACTCTCATCCGGAAACAGGAAAAGGTCCGAACAGCATGGCTCCTGTATTTGAGCTTTTTCATCCAAAATGCCTAGATAAAATGGTACATGTTGGCACACTTTGAGACATTGATAACATGCTTACAAAGATGTTAACCATGTGTCAGATACACATGGAGTGCGCTCACCAGCACTCTCTCTTATAACATGAATCTAAGCTTTAAAGACAGATTCAGCAGCTTATCCTCAAACACCTCAGCAAAAGGCCGAAATACATCAAAGACCACTAATAAAAAGAGTAGTACATAATTCCTCTAAGAAAATAGAAAACAATGCCATAAAGTAAAGACTGCCCCCTCTCGGCTCTCTGCACTGAGCAGCTCAGGAAATCAGCAGTGGCTGGTAAGCAGGAACTCGCAGTTCACTTTAGCAGAGATTTCATCCTGACCATTCTGTCTCGTGGGTGAACTCCGGGAGAAGACCGTGGGGCAAAACCGCAAGAGGAGAAAAACCCCCTACGCCCAGCAGTGCCTCACCAAAAATGGCAGAAATCTCAGTCTGTGGAAGGGGGAGGTGTGTAATAAATTGTTGGTGCAGCGTAAAGAGGGCAGAGATTCCACACAATGAAAAGAGGACTTCTTGGGGCACTGGTCACCCAAACTGGTCACCTGTCCTCAGCTATGTCTCAGTGTGACGCTCACACATGGCTGCATGTGCACCCCAATCTGCAGGTGAACATCTAGTTTTACACACTTAGATTATGCATGTAACTCACTACTTCTTCGTCCATTCATTCAACCAAGCGCTGTGATGGGGCTGAGAATACTAACACAAATAAAGCCACACTGTGGCCTCGAGACACTCACAGACTAGATTTTAAGTTCTTCTATGGCAGCACCATTTTTTTTAGTAAATCTTTTAAGTTCATTTATTTCATTCATGATAAAGAACATGTGCACATGCATAAGAAAGAGTGAAAGTGGATTGGAGAGTAGCGCCCTCGACAGGGTCTCTTCATGCTGTGGCCCCCGTTCTCAGCATTCCAGCACCTCGGGATCCTAGCACAGGATCACTCACCCAGCAAGCTTCCAAGCCTGAGATCCAAGCCAAGCCTGAGATCCAAGCCATGCCCAGCTTAAGCACTGCAGTTCACTGCTACGACTGCAACCTCAGGCAAACCTGCGGCAACACCCCGACTTACTCACCATTACAGGTGCCCAGTGACTAGTACAGAATGTTATATTCAAGTTGCTCAGTAAATAGTCATTAAATATTCTTTCCCGTGAAAGTAAAATAACTGTTATCATTTATTACAAATAATGTGTTCACAGTACAGGGCCAGCCCCACAGAACAATGGTTAAGTGCTGTGTATTAGGAGCCAGATCTCACATGGCTGACCAGTGTTCAAGTCCCAGCTCCAGGAGCTTAAAGAACACGCTGGTACAAGTATGTGTGTGTTCCCCCAATCCTCCCAAGATGGAGAAATGAAGGAAAGGGGACTGCAGCATGACCATGCCCCACTGGGGGTTCTCTCCCTCGCTCGCTCTCTGGCAAGTGCATGTGCAATTAAAAAGAAAACGAAAATGCACAAATAAAAAAGCAAATAATGTAGTACACCGGAAGTGAGAAGCCCCAGTTTGCTTCCTTGGTTGTGTCCTAAATTAGAATGAAAGCAACATTCAATGCCAAATTTTCCACTTTCTTATTTGCCGAAGGGCACGCGAGCTCGCCAGAGACAGGGAGACAGAGGGAGAGGGAGAAAGCAGCCCCAAGCGGGGCGTGATCAGGCTGCAATCCCATCTCCATTGTTTAGATTTTTGGCATGCACGCGATTCCACCAGGACTGAAATTTGAAACATGTGGTCAGTCATGTGGGATCCAGCTCCCTTAACCACTAGGGCACGGGGCCCTAATGCTAAATTTTTTTAAATACCATAAAGTAACATTTTAAAATTAAGATTCCCATAATATATAGAGCAAGCTATATCTATCCAATTGGAAAAAATATTTTTGAAAATAGATGCTTCAAAATATTTATGTTTCAGGACCAGCAGTCAGTGTAATGGCTATGTCGCTGGACTCCCACTTAGTCGATCGCGGTTCGCGTCCTGGACCCGGTGGCTTAAAACTCACGCCGGGTGCGTGTGTGTGTGTGCCCAAGATCCCGAGAGGAGAATGGACTGGGGCGTGACCATCCACCCTGGGGGGTGATTTCTCACTTTCTGTCTCTCTCTGTCTGTCTGGCGAGTGCACGCACCCTATAGTGAAAAACCTCTCAAAAAAAAAAAAATGTATGTTTCCATTTCATGTTCAAGGATCTCTAATCATCAGCCCTTCTCTGCTTATCCAACTTTCTGGGCTAATTCTTCATTTCTTTTCAGCAAGAAAGAAACTTTCATGCTGGTAATAGCCTGAATGTTCAGCTAGATAATCAAGGCTCAGGCCGACTCCGTCTACACTCTGTGGGTGTTAATGGCTTTGCCAAGATTACCTTCTCACTCCTCCTTGCACTCTTAAATCCCACCTCCCTCTCAAAAGCCAACTCAACTCACTTCCACGGAAGTCCAATGAAGCCACTGCTAATCCTTCCCAGCCCCGGTGAGCACGGCACATTCTGAAGTGCTCTCACGCCATTATCTATCATTCTCAGCCTGCACGCGTGTCTGCCAGTGTGTGTTACTGGGCTAGAAGCTATCAGAAAAAAATGAGCTTTGGTTCCACTTACTCTGCACCACTTTAGCCAGGTTATTTATCTCCTAGACACAAGCTTATTGACTAACAAAAATCCACCAAAACTCAGATGTGTTTTTCATTAGTAAGTCACATACTGAGGAAGTCATGAGAACACAAATAATGCAAGCCTCAGCTACCTCAGTGCCCCCAGAGAAACGCTCCTGGTCCTACCATTGGCCTGTGGGTTTACGGACGACGGGGCCTGCTGGGCGTCGATCTCCTCCATGGCATCACTCATCAGATCTTGTAAAATCTGCTGATCTGCCTCAGGAAGCACGGGACCACGCGAGGATGTCCGACCGCTGGAATCTGTCTGCAGCCAAAAATTCTAGTGAAAAATAACTGAAAATGCTCTTCAGAAGCAAACTACTTAAATTTGTTTCATGTTTATAAATACACTGCATTTCACAAAAGCACTGGAAACAGGAACACACTCGTTCTTTACCTTCGGCAAGCTGTTCCATTTCTATTTTAAGTTTTACAAGAGTCCGCCCTTTGTGGCTCTGCTGTTCATGTATTCAGTTACCCATGGTCAAAACATATTAAATGGGAAATCCCCAGATAAGCAATTTATAAGTTTTAAATTGCCAGGGCAGCCTAAGGAGGCTGCCTTCCCACCCCACGTGCCAGGACATGGGCACCGCCTCTCCAGCACGCCCTGGCAGCACACTCTCTCCGCTTAGTAGTCACTGAGTAGCCACACCTGTTACTAGACATGAAAAAACAGTGCACACAGCTTTTATTGCTATTTGAGGTTTCGGGCACCCACCCAGGTCTTGGTCTATGTCCTCTACAAACAAGGGGCACTGCTGTAGCTGTTATCACCCCAACTACTGGCAAACACAAAGAGAGTCATTACTTCAAAGCCAACACAGTGAGCTGGGATCTTTAAGAAGCAACGTATTAGAAGAGAGGGAAGCTGCAAAAAACTGCAGCAAGGCTGGGGAAATGGGGATGACTAAGCTTAATCTTGTCAAATTAGACAACCTCGATGATTTTCATCCCTGTGCGACAAAGCCACCGCAGGTCAAAGACTCACTTCTTAAGCACCTGAGGACAGTAGGGGGCTTGCACAAGAGGGGAAATCTGCTAAGTAGTGATTCACAGGGCTTAATTCTAGCACCAGCACTTAACCATCTGGTTAGTGAACTATGGATTCATTATATTCAGACCATGCTTTTTAGATATGAGCATGACTCAGATGGAAAGATCCAGGCTGAAAGGGATCATATTAAATAACTTCTATACGGGAACCAGCAGTTGTATGTCGCTGGACTCCCACGTAGTCGACGGCAGTTCGCGTCTCAGACCCGGTGGCTTAAAACTCACGCCAGGCACGTGTGCGTGCATGCCCAAGATCCCGAGAGGAGAATAGAGGAGAAGGGATTGTGACGTGACCATCCCCCCTGGGGGGTGATTTCTCGCTTTCTATCTCTCTGTCTCTGTCTGTCTGGCAAGCCCACACGCCCTATAGCAAAAACCTCAAAAAAAAAAACAAAACTTCCTACAAAATATTCTTTTTTTTTTTGGAGAGGTTTTTGCAATAGGGTACATGCACTCGCCAGACAGATAAGAGACACAGAGAGAGAAAACGAGAAATCACCCCCCAGGGGGGATGGCCACGCTGCAATCCCTTCTCCTCCATTCTCCTCTCAGGATCTTGGGCACGCACGCACATGCGCCCAGTGTGAGTTTTAAGCCACTGGGTCCGGGACGCAAACCGTGGTCGACTACGTGGGAGTCCAGTGACATAGCCATTACACTAACTGCTGGTCCCCAGAATATTCTTTAAAAAAAAGAAAAAAATTTTGCTTTAGAGAGCTTCCACTGACCAGAGAGACAAAAACTGAGAAACCACTCCTCAGAGGAACGGCCATGCTGCAAGCCCTTCTCTTCCATTTTCCTCTTAGGATCTTGGGCATACGCGCACACACACTCAGCATGAGTTTCAAGCCGCCTGGTCTGAGACTCGAACAATGGCTGGTCACATTGGAGTCCAGCGTCTTAATCACTATGCCATCTGCTAGCCCCCAAACTAGAGAATATTCTTATAAAGAGTAAGCAGTGGAGCAGGAGAATCATAAATCATCTTATTATCAGTGGGAATACAGCAGACTAGAGTCAGGAACAGAGGTGAAAAACAAACACAAGGTAATCCTGGAAAAAGCTAATGTGCCGGTAGTCAGATCCTTACTCAAGTACATACTAAAGGGGACATAACCTAAGGGGAGTGATAGCTGTGCTCACAGAAACAGCTATGAAGAAGGATGGAAAATAAAAAATGCAAAACAAACTGGCCATAGGTGAGATCAGAAAGGTGACACTTGGGATATACCAAAAAAAAAAAAAAAAAAAAAAGGCACTGAACTGGGAAACTAAGTATCTGGATTTGTTGCTACTAATTAGGGCAAATCACCTAAATTCCCTGGGTCTTACCATCTGTAAGGCAGATAACGGCCAGCCTGTGGCACGGTGGGTAAGGCAGCTCGACCCCACATGGCCAAAGCTTCGAGCCTTGGACCCAGTGGTTTGAGAAACACACCGGTGTGTACGTGTATGTGCTCAAATTCTGAAAAGTGGGAGAGACGGAGGAGAAGGGATTACGGCGTGACCACTCCCTGTGGGGGATGCTTTCTCGCTTTCTCTCTCTCTCTCTCTGGCACCCTCTGGCAAAATTTTAAAAACAAACAAATAATAAAAACAGAGATGATAACCTTTAACCCGTTCTCTCACTAGGTTTTCAGGAAGGGACAGGGAAATCACATGTGAGTAAGTATACTGAAAACTTGATAGTATTATAGATAAAAAAAATAGGGAATATATCAGGACCTAAAATAAGTCTTCCAGGAAAAACACCAACACCTGCCATCTCCTCGTAGCATTTTTACGTACAGCTTGCATCTAACAAGTTCTTACATGACAATGTTTTCTTCTTTTTCCCTAAGACAGACGAAACTAACTTATGTCTAGAGGAAAACCAGCATGTTAGCTGAGAAAAAATCAGGGTTCTGAAACAAAGAATTCCAAACAATACAGAGGTTTACCAAGAAGGTCCACTGGAATCACCTTTTCAGACCCATGACTCTGAAGATAAAGAATAAAGAGGTGGCTTTTCAAAGTGTCTTTTCGGCCTTAGGACTGCCAGGAAGGCCTCAGTGATGGAACCTGTCACCCCACCGCGAGGCCTGGGGCGGTAACGCTGTGACTGTACCTTGGGCTTCTTTGGAGCCGCTCCAGGCTTCGTTTCCGCCCTGTCAGGCGCGTGTAAGTCGCCGTAGCTGGCAATGTACTGAATGAGATTCATCAGTGCGGCACAGGAGTCTGAACACGTTCTGATATGGACAACGTCACTGGAACAGTGTAACTCAAAGCGGGGCTCCGTCTGGACAGAACGTGGGAAAAGAGAGTCAAGATCTTCTCCAAGCAAGACAGAAAAAACGTATTTTGGGGGACCAGCAGTTAGCATGATGGCTATGTTGCTGGACCTCCATGTAGTCAATCGAGGTTCGAGTCCTAGACCCAGTGGCTTAAACTCACGCCGGGCACAAGTGCGTGTGTGCCCGAGAGGAGACTGGAGGAGAAGGGATTGCGGCGTGGCCATCCCCCCTGGGGGTGATTTCTCACTTTCTGACTCTCTGTCTGTCTTTCTGGTGAGCGCACGCACCCAATAGCAAAAACCTCTCCAAAAAACAAACAAAAATGTATTTTTGTGCCCAGATTTACATTAAAATATATGCTATTTTGTCATGCCACAGGGAAGAAAGTACTCATAATTCAATATGAATTTTAAAATGTTTTATCTATTTTTGTACAAAAACTAATGTTATGTAAATTAGATTTTTTAAAATTATTTTACATTCATTCACTGAACATCATCACAACATAAAAAAAAACATGCAGTTTCCCGTCCAGCATACACTGTATAGTGGCTTAGTTGTACATGTTACCATCAACAAATAATTTTCCATTTATTGTTTCGGACATATGTATCCATCCTCCATTTCTCACCCTCTGCCATTTCCCAACCTTCCTCTTGTTTCGGACATATGTATCCATCCTCCATTTTTCACTCTCTGCCATTTCCCAACCCTCCTTCCACCCTCCCTGATAATCTGCAGTTGCTTTCCATTCCTCCCCTCCCCCCACATGTTATTGGCTAACAAAATATCTTAATTGATTTAACTACTTTCAATTGCAAGTTCAGCTGATATATAAATATCTCTGAACAAATGTTTTACTTTAGGCATGAAACTGTGAGTAGAATGAATAGACTATAAAATAGCACCTAGCTGAGGCTATATAGCTTACTGTGGTCATTAAATAGGTTTGGTTTTTTGTTTTGGTTTGGTTTTTTTGGGAAAGGTTTTGCTATAGGGTGAGTGCGCTTGCCAGAAAGAAAGAGAGATGGAGAGACAGAAAGTGAGAAATCACCCCCAGGGGGGATGGCCACACCACAAGCTCTTCTCCTCCATTCTCCTCTCGGGATCTTGGGCACGCATGTACACGCACCTGGCATGATTTTAAGCCACTGGGTCCAGGACTCGAATCATGGTCAACTACATGGGAGTCCAGCGACCTAGCCATTACGCCAACTGCTGGTCCCTAAATAGGTATTTTTTAAATATATTTTTTTAATTTCAAGAAAGGAAGTTTTAGCTTTAATAAATCAAAATCAAAAATGTTAAGAGAACTTTGCTTAAGACCTAAAGCCAGGAAGCAAGCTAGGATTCTGTTCAAATAGTAGGTACATGGATCTGTTGACAATTCAAGAGAAGACAAAACTCATCATCTCTGGAGTACAAAGCAGATTTTTCAAAATACAGGACACAGATAAGAAATTCCATTTATTTTAATAACTTACTTGTTCTCCATCAGAATCAGACTTCACTGCAGTTATGGTTAATTCCAAAAGCCCCATATCCATCACACGAACATAATCTGAAATTTTTTTAAGTAATTAATAAAATGTCCGAGTATGGCTTACCCAACCAACTCCAATAAAATTAGTATTTCTTTTAATTCACTGCAGAAAGGGCTAACATTATTTATGATATAATAGAAACATAATTTTATAGTACGAAAATGCTTTAATTCACTTTTTCTTAGTCAGAAACAAAATTTGTCTTATACTAAAAACGTATCTTAAGTATGTATAACTTGATGCACTTAACTACTGTTATAAGAACATTACCATTTTAAACTGAAAAATCAGCTCTGAGGGCCAGCAGGTGGCTGGCTGGAAAAAAGTGGGACTTCTAGTGGTTAAGTCATTGAAATTACACGTGGCCAAATGTGATTTGAATCTGGGACCCAGAGGCCTGAAACTCACATCAGGCACGTGTGCATGAGTGCCTAAAATCCCAAGAAGTAAATAGAGAAGGGACTGCGGTGTGGCCATCCCCCCTGCAAGGTGATTTCTCGCTGTCTCTTTCTCTGTCTCTTTCTCTGTCTCTCCAGCGGGTACACACGCCCTAAAGCAAAAATCTCTCAAAAAGAAAATAGAAAAACCGGTTCTGCATATATAGCATGCAGTCTCTAGATCACTTAGAGCCTTCGAACGTTAAGGGTCTTAGAAGATAACTTATTAAAACCCTTCAAAATATTTGTACGCACACAAAAGAGCAGCATTCACCTACTCCAATTTGGTTTTTTAACTCATACCTCTATTCAAATTGACAGTGACGGTATTACATTTGTCAGACAGATGTAAAGCAGCTTCATCCAAGATTATTCTGAGGATAAGAAAGATAAAACCAACATCAGAAAAACTAAGCTTTGAATATACACATGATCGCTGTATGCTCAGATACATTATTCTTTCTGACAGGACTATTATCAAAAGCATGTGCAGTTTTGGGACCCGCAGTCAGAGTAATGGCTATGTTGCTGGACTCCCATGTAGTCGACCGCGGTTCACGTCCCGGACCCGGTGGCTTAAAACTCACGCCAGGTGCATGTGCATGTGTGCCCAAGATCCCAAGAGGAGAATGGAGGAGAAGGGATTGCGGTGTGGCCATCCCCCCTGGGGGGTGATTTCTCGCTTTCTGTCTCTCTCTGTCTGGCTGGTGGGCGCACGCACCCTATAGGGAAAACCTCTCAAAAAGAAAAAAAAAAAAAGCATGTGCAGTTTTTAACTTACAGCTGTCACCCAGCATTTCTTAAAACCTTGTTGTTTGTAAATGTTAGGAATATGTAAATGGTGTAAAGAATTAGATTAAATCATTTGCTCATAGTAATTCACTCTCCCGGGGGGGGATGGTCACGCCTCAATCCCTCCTGCATTTTGCTCCCGGGGGGGATGGTCACGCCTCAATCCCTCCTCCATTTTTTTCCTGGGATTTTGCACACACATGCACATGCACCCGGCATGAGTTTCAAGTGAAAGCCACCAGGTCCAGGACTCAAACCAGCTGACCATGTGAGTGTCCAGAACCTGAACTACCACACCACCTGCCGGCCCCGTAAAAAGAGTTTTAATGATTTAGGCAGGTAAGAGTTAGTGTGTTTTGAAGAACTACATTCAGTACACAGTGACGCTCACACAGGTACCTGAGAGTAGAGGAGGACTTGTCCAGTGCAACACTACTAGAAACGCTGAATGTTTCCACAGTTAGGAGAGATCGGATTGGCAGATACAGGGGCCTGATACCAAAAAGAAACCATAGATCATCAATTTGATGCAATAGAAAATTGCCAAAAAAGCATTTTGACCCTCTGTATTTGTTTCCAAAGCTTAGTACATACTTTAAATAGCGAAACTTTATTTTAATCCATTTGTGAACGTACCTATAATCAAGTGCACAGCTCCAAAGATGAACATGGAAAGTTGTAAATGAAGTTGGAGGATTATACCCCAAAACAGGTTCATCAGCAATATTCAAGAAGTATAAAATCTATAATCACAAAAATATAAAATGCCCTGCCTTAAAAGAAAAGATTTTGATATAATATCCTTAAGGGCAATATAAAACATAATAGCACATAGAAAAAGCAACCATTTAACTGGAAATCATAATACCAAAACAAAAAATAATAATTTTGAAGGAATTTCATTTATGCACAAAAATGAGGGGCAACTATGGAAGATAACAGATAGCTTTATTTTTTTTAAGAGAGAGGTTTTTACTATAGGGAGCATGCACTCGCTTGAGAGACAGACAGAAAGTGAGAAATCACCCCCCAGGGGGGATGGCCAGGCCACAATCCCTTCTCTATTCTCCTCTCAGGATCTGGTCAGGCACACACCACCCTGAGTGTAAAGCCACCAGGTCCGAGACCGGAACGGCAGCCGACCACGTGGGAGTCCAGCAATGTAACCATGACACCACCTGCTGGCCCAGTAACAGATAGCTTTGATCACATTACTCATCTCACTATATATATGTAAATCAAAACATGTAATAGGTCTTAAACAAATATATGAAATATATATAAAATGAAAGATATGAATATATGAAATAATAACATGACTATTATGAAACAAAAATTCTAAGACGCACTTGTAAAATTAGAATTTTTCTGAAATGAAGAGAACCATCCCACAACTGCAATGAAATCTTAGAAGAAAACTTATTTTAAGAAATTAATAACAAAATGGGGACCAGCAGGTGGCATAGTGGCTAAGGCACTGGACACTCCCACATGGCTGACCATGGTTCGAGTCCCGAACCTGGTGGCTTGCTTTCTCACTTTCCCTCTTTCTCTCTGTGTCTCTGGTCAAATTGGAATAAATGAAGAAATAAAATTAAATAAAAAATAATTCTTTAAAAAAATTAATAACAAAGTATACACACAATATACTTTCACATTGTATTGCTTGGAACAATGCTTTAAAAATATGTATTTTGCTGAAATTGCTTAAAATTATCAATCTGTTTTCCTATATAAATCATGGGAGAGGGTGGAAAAATCTAATTTTCTATATAACTCAATGTTGGAAGAAGTTCTCTTTTTTTTTTATGTATACTTGGCTTAGTCTGAAAGATAGTCCCTCTCACTAATCTCTGTTCTCTTGTATTTTTAATCTAAGTAAATAAAGAGATTATGCTGACTTTCTCCCCTTACAGTCAATGAGTATTCCTACTGAGCATCTCTCTACCCCCCACCAGAGAAAGAAAGAAAGAAAAAGGGAAAGCGGGACAATTTTTTTTCTTCTTTTTTTTTTTTTTTTTTTTTTTTTTAAGAGATTTTTGCAATAGGACACTTATGCTCACCAAAGAGACAAAATCATCCCCCAAGGGGGATGGTCACACCACAATCCCTTCTCCATTCTCTTCTCAGGATTTTGGGGATGCACACACATGCACTGGGTGTGAGTTTCAAGCTGCCAGGTCCGAGACTCGAACCGCAGTCAGCCACATGTAAGTCCAGCGACATAACCACTAAGTCATCTGCTGATCCCATGCTCATACTTTTTAAAGATATTCATGAAAAAAGCATTTTGAAAACATTCAAGCTTTAAAAAATAATTCTTCATTTTCCCAGCACAATGAAAGGTTCCCCATTCCACAGAACATGAGAAAGTTCGTAGTGCACTAATTTTCATTCTCACACACAGAAAAGGTAACTGCTTTTTTGGGGGAGAGTTTTCTGCTATAGGGCACATGCGCTTGCCAGAGAGACAGAAAGCAAGAAATCACCCCCCAGGGGAGATGGCCATGCCACGATCCCTCCTCCTCCATTCTCCTCTCAGGATCAGGATCTTGGGCACGCATGCATACACGCCTGGCGTGAGTTTCAACCACTGGATCTGGGACTTGAACCACAGTCAACTACATGGGAGTCCAGCAACATAACCATTACGCCAACTGCTGATCCTGAAAAGGTAACTTCTTATACAAAATTTCCTCTGAAAAATAACCAACTATATTTAACTGCCCTATAGAGTTACTCAACTAAAAATTACTTATAGAAATCCCGATAAAATGCTTTAAAACAGTATCATACTACTGATCTAGGGAATAAAATGAAAATCCTGGCACTTAAAGAACCTCTAGAGACCAACAGGTAGTATGGTGGTTAAGGTTCTGGGTTCCCACATGGCCCACTGTGGTTCAAGCTCCAGACCTGAGACCTTGAAAATCATGCCGGGCACATGTGTGTGCATGTCTAAAATCCCAAAAGAAGAATGGAAAAGGGATTGTGGCATGGTCATCCCCCTGGGAGTGGTGAGTCTTCACTTTACCTCTCTCTCTCTCTCCAGTGAGTACCCACACTCCATGGAAAAAACTAAAAAAGAATCTCCACTTACAAAAGTAATTCAAAACACCATTCGTATTCCTTGCTTGCCCCTGCCAGACACCCTACAGATCCTAGTGCACAGAGTTCCTTCTCTTTCTTTAATGACATAAAAGACAGGCATGGTAAATTGTCACACACTGCTCCATGGTGTTGGGGCCACAGGTGAAGGTCCAGATTCGCATACCAAGGTCTCTCTGTGCACACCTGTGCTGAGCCCCAGCCAGCTCAGCTGGGGTGGTTCACGGGGAGAAAGCCCTGTTGGGGTAGGGACACCTATTTCTCTTTCTGTCTCCTCTCGTGAAAAAAAGAAGCATAAAAAACAAAACAAACAAACAAAAAAAAAAACTCTTGTCATCCAGAGATTTTAGAAACCAAATTTTAAGGTAAAAAAAAAAAATCAGTTACAGGGGCCAGCAGGTGGCATGGTGATTGAGGCGCTAGACTCCCACATGGCTGACCACAGATGGAGTCCCAGATCTGACAGCTTGCTTTCTCACTTTCCATCTCTTTACCTCTCTGTCTCTCTCTGGTCCAATTAAA